ACTTGTAATTTATATTATCACAATTAAGCTCTCTTTAGAATAAAGAAAGGTTTTTGTGTCTTGGTAGACAATTCATAATCTGAGTGTCAAACAAGGATAAAAGATTGATGAACTTAAAAGCCACAGGAAAGAAAATACATGAAAGATTTTCTTTGGCTAAATATTTACTTTAAGATTAATTCAATCAAGCGGGATAAAAACTGCACAAAGGCTTTATAAAAAGAGGTAATTGCACATACCAATCTTAGGGTTTTGAAGTGAATTCGAATAAAAGAAGGTGATGTGGGTAACTAAACAATATTATTATATAAACAAAGAAATAAAAACGGCGATAACTGACTGCTGGAAAAGTTGTTCATGTTGTTTATTCAAGATTGAAAGCTACATGCAATCGTTGACAACAACCTTTTCTGAAAAGTAGAAAACTAGCGAGGCAAAATTCAATGAAAAATGGCAGAATCTAGATTCAGACAGCAGAAATGGAAAACAAACCTACAAACAGAGGAAAAATGTCGAATAAATGGTGCGTAAGAGCAAGATTGCAGTACGTACAGTATAGTTATAAAGCTAGTGAAGCGACTTCACCAGCCACCTATTTTACTTTAGCGGTTTTCCTGGCTGACTTGCTTGATTCTCCCTTCAGATGTTTTTCTGAATAACAAAATTCACTTTCCCCTAGCTAATGCCAATAATAGCGCACGTTTTAAAAGAAAAATTGTTAAAAATCACCGCTGTTTCGCATTCACAAACAACAAACAACCTTGTGAATAAAGCTGCCAATGATTCTGCCCGGGTTAGCAGGCAAGATGGTAACAAACTGCCCGCTCTTCCAACAAATCAGATTGCAGGATTTGGAGGATTCCGCCCGCTAACAAGCTTAGAAAAATAAATGATAATATTGTTATAGAAATTGTGAAAATATCAACAATGCTGACACAGTTCAATACAAAACAAGACGCCATTGGAGCGTACACTTGAGCATTGTTGTATCTCACATGTGTGAGGATTTTTTTTGTCAGGCACATGTGAGTGCAAAAAATTGTTTAGGGTTGGTTGAAATGGGTGAAAAAGGAGATGTGGAGGTAAAGTAGATGTTGCTAAGTATGTATATAGCTAGAATTTTCTTCAGAATCTGCTTACTGAATAGCGAATGTGCACGACTACTAAGAAATGTCATACTCTCCATTTCCAGTGAAAAGCAAACATTCGAGTGAGCTCTCACTTTCACCTTGCTCCTGTGTCTCCTATGTGACATCTCTTGATATCCCTTAAATGGCGAGTTTGCTCGCAGGCTGTTACAGTTTTCATTGTTGTGTGAGATGGATTCATCATCAAGATAACCGCTCAGTCAATTCCAAGTGTACCTACAACCAAATCAAGAAAAGGGTGCACACTTTGAATAATTTGTTTTGGTCAGTATGACCACATGGCAATTCTTTTCTTTTATCATTCAAATGTAAGTACTGCCATATTTTGGCATACCGGTTCCTTGGAAAAATCTTCGGCCCTTCTGAAACTCCTAGAAGTTGATTTTAAGACCAGTACGAATAAACTTCTGGCATTTGTTTGATGCTAAGAAGAATGTTCTTGTCAAAGTACGCTTGGATTTCTTTAGCATCAGTTTCATATTACACACAATTTGGTTTAGGTTCCATCGCTTGGAGGGCAGAGTGATTAATTTTGTTTCCTCAGCAATTTGGTTAAAATTTTCTTCCTTGAACATCAAAGTAACGTCCCTTACAGGAACAGTATTTGCCACAAATGGATTCACCATAACTGGTTTAGGAATTGAGTTCCACCCTACATCCACTTCTTTGTTAGTTTCTGAGCTTGTTACGCTAAATTTTGACAAGTCTTCCATATTTACAGTTGAAACTGTTACATTTCAGATTCCCACTGTACAACACCTCTTTGCAATTTGCATTCTACGTCAAAGCCTAGAAACTCTTCTTCCTCACTATCCAACTCAAATACCAGTAACTTCGCCCTTAGGACGTCAAGATGTCGAAATTTCAACCATTAAATTCTGAAAAAAATTGTATGAACACCACCCCTGATAGTTCAAACCAAGCCTTTACTGTGATCCTATTGGTCTTAACACAGTAGAGAAACATATTTGATTGGTTAGAATTGAGTGCACTGAATAGTGTCACTCAAATTTGAGGGGTGGCACTTGTGGACAAGTTAAAGCTTTTAGATGACAAGCAAAGTTACATGTATGGAAACGTGTAAAAATATAAAACCACCTGAATTATGCTGTCACTTGTAGCCTTATTAAAGTTGATGGAAGGCTAGTCCCCAACTAAGTTGTACTTGTAAGCTGAGATCAGACTCGCTTAGTTAATAGATTACTGGTGGGCGAGGTGAATTGAAGTGTTGCATTGATTTTGATTTAGTACAGTACCTGAATATCTGAATTTGTGGCCACATACCATACAAGTCATATTGGTTGGCAGAACAAGGGTATCGCGAGAAAGTGGATGGACTGCAAAAACATTATTTTTATAAAGTGCCGCTGACCACCCCCACTAAGAATTTGCCTGGTGTAATTTGTTTAATTATAAGTGTAGTTCAACTTCCATGACTGCAAACAAGTAATGTTATTCACCTTGTTTCGGCAATGCTTCGCCGTGGATCCATATGAACATTCACTGCCACATGTTCTTCCAGCACCCTTGCAAGGACATCCTCGCTTTGTATTCGCCGTTCGTTTTGTGGAACAAGTGCTTTTGCATTTGCACGAGATGCGATTTTCCTGAAAAATAAGCGGTGGAAATAGCAATTAATTATTTTGCTAGACAGTATGTGGATGAAAAGCACTTATTCTTAAAAGAAACCTTATCAACATCAAAGGAAACTTACCACCACAGACTCTGTAGCCTCGTCCGAGATCATGGTTTCGTCTCTATAGCTACAATGAAACTGGAAGACGAAAATACTCAATTATATGAACAAAAACTCGGAAAGAACTGTACTATAAACAGAGGTTTGCTGCCAAAAATCGGCCTGATTTCCAAAATCCAATATGGCGGACAGTTGAGAAAATCAACAGAGCAGGAAAAAAACCTGCACATGCGCAGGTTGTGACATAGCCCCTTTAATAAACCATTAGATGGTAAATGAAACATCATTACATACATCCTACATATATCCTTTATTATCTTTCCTTAAACAAGGCTTTTCAAAGGTAATTACAGAAAGTATAATTACAAACAAAAAGAAGTACAGTAAATAGACTATGTTAAGTTAGATCCAATGAATCATTCATATTAGCTAAACATAAATTCTACTGATGGATTACATTATGTTGTTTAAGATGCAATCTACATATATGTACAGCTGTACCTGTATCACATTACAAAGGTGAAACAGCTTACTCACTGGGTGCTTCAAACATGTATTTGTTTCAATGTGAAACATAAGCAAAGGTTAAAGTTACTTCATGTACCAGTAAATTTCTCTTGAAAAAAAGAGATACAGAAAACCAAAGGCAGAAGACAAGAGATTGCTGTAAAGCAAAATTATGACTTTTTAAGGATTGTTTCCTTTGTAGAAACCCTAATGAATGGCAAAAGATACATTGTAGTTTTGGATCTCTTTGGAGACCAAGAGTCTGTTAACATGGGAAGGTGGTGCCGTAAGATTAACTGGGGTACTCTACCTCCCAGCACTAAGGTTACTGCGGTTGTACATGTATCATGAAAAAATTATTTATTCTTCCTTTACTCTCAAAGAATATCCATCCATTTCTCAGCCTCTCTCTGTCATATTTTTATCATATTTTACTGTTTGTTCTCCATTTCCCTTATTTAAGTTTCAGGGTCCACAGCTTTTACTGGTCAAAAATCGAGAGTATAGTTATGGGCCATGGATTGTCGCAAGATCTTCTTCAAAGTCAATTCCTTTGAAGTAATAGTTCTACTTATACTTTGTTGACCAAAAACACTAAATCTATTGCTCCAGAAAAAAACATATGATATCCATATGGCCCACGGAAGACTCTTTCACTTGCACCCTACCCCCCCAAGGATTCTCCATTCCAGGGGGGTCTTTGATGACCCCACTCCCCAGAGGAATTTCCAGAATTGTAAAGAGGGAGTTCTTACCACCGGCAGAAATTCAAAGTGGTTTTTGAAAGTGAACTCAATTACGAAAATACAGTAGAATTTTTTTACAACAGTGTAAACATTAAGCTTAACTTCATTAAAAATATAACGCTTTGTTAAGCTTATTATTCTTTAGTTTCTTCACCTTCAAGGTTGCAAATTATGTCTGGGTTATTTTTATGTTTAGCTTATAAGCTTAAACATTTGGGTTGCAAAGTTTAAAACGTCAATAATTTGTTCTACAGTATGTACGTTTTTGTGCTTATTCTGATGAGAACTCACTTTAAAAAAACTTTGCAAGGGATAGCAAATAAAACAGAAATTACAAGGTTCCTTTTTGGCTGTTTATTTGTCTACACCTTTTGTCAGTTTCTTCAGGTTGATTTTTATTTATGACCACAAACTTCACTAATACAATCATGCTGACATGCAAGGTTTCGTGACTTTGTAATAGCCTGGCTGACATCATCACAATAGCAGAAGTTATTTTTATTAGCCAGGTAGCCGGGCCTTCATTAGACTGAGCAAGAAATGGGAATGAAAGTACTTCAACATTTTAAGAAACCACTAAATTTTCATATGTTACTCTATCGGTACTGTTGATGAAACTTTGATGTGGAAATAAAAACATCAGGAGACACTAAGGGATTTGCATTGGGGTTACACAATTCAATAAAGATATTGTTGTTTCATAGTTCTAGCAAATGTAGTATAACTGTAAATAATGAATGGAGTAGCTGTTAAAAGTTTTCAATTCCTGTCTCCTCACTACTGCCTGAATTGAATGAATGATCCCATCCACAAGAGCCCCAGTTGCATGCAGGCTGTAAACTGCTCTATCTTTAAAACAGAGGGTATAAATAGCACCATTCTCCTCATGAAAGTGTTGAATCTCTCCATTATACCTGCCAGGTTGCCTGTTGGTCCCTTTCAGATCCTTCTCATTCCAAAAATCCTCCACTGATTGCCCAACTGCAAAGTTCTGTGTACTTTGTGCTTCTCCTGATTCTCTTAGTTTGGCCAGCAGTTTTTTCGTTCGGGGACGTTGAATCACATTTTTCACAGGTTGCGTCTTCATAACCTTTTCGCATTTGGATGACTCCTGAGTTGCTCAACGCTTTTTGTTGCTCAGTTTGACAGCCTTCTTTTCACGGTCATCAGTCTTTTGTCGCAACATCTCTTCCACATTACCAACGAAAAGTTTTAAAGCCTCAAGGGTCTTGTCTACACTCCGCTGTTGGTTTTCAAAGTGAAAAGGTGAAATAATGACTTTGAGGCATGATGTCCTGGTTGTGACAGTATTTTCCTGTCCATTAGTGTATTCTGTCGTGCGACGAAAAGATTTACAGTGAACTGTTGAGCTCCTCTTGTGTTGACCTGATTGTCATCACCACCTCTATCATGTGTAATATGCAGAGATGTTGTCTGGAAAAGGCACCCTCCAGATAGCCAGCCTTTAGTAGCCACACCCTTATAATCAGTTCTTCTTTGGTACCCAGGTCTAAAATTTGATGCTTTCTCAAAATAGCTCTAAGTTGAGCGACACACAATCTCATCATTCCTGCAGTAGAATTAGGAATTGATCCTATTTTTCCATAATGAAGGTCAAACTCTGTGCTTTTTCTGTGACAAGCATTCCACAAGCTCATGTTTTTTTTCCACTGGCATGTAGACCAGATTGACTACACATTCATTTTGACCAGGGTCTCTTTACTTTCTTGATAGAGAGCATACAATTCATGTACTGCTTCCATGTTTTCCTTTTGATGTCCTGGTCTTTTTTATCTTCCAATTTTTTGTGAAAACTACTGTAGTATGTTGAAGCCTCCTCAAATGTTACCCAAGCCAAAAAGGCGATGGACATCATCATGTCCTTTGGCTCTTAAATGTCTTAATGACACCCGCAAAAAGAAAACGCTGTTCTGTGCAAGCATTCAGATGGTGGGAGCTTGCATCTCATCACATGTTTTAAGAGTTACTACCCCCAATAAAACATGAGGCCTATCAAAAATGTGTTTACTGCGTGTGAAGGTAGTGAAAAGTAATACTCAGTGAATGGAAGTGAAAGCATGCAAATGTTGGTTGGACGAGAACGAAACGAAGCTGGAAGTCTGGCGACGAGACTCCAGTTATGCAAGCTATTTTAAATCGTTTCAACTTTGTTCCAAAGGCACATCATTCTTAGCTTCAGCAGATTGTAGCTAAGTGACTTAATAGTGCTTTGCTTACTTTTTTGAGTGCAAAGTTTATAGCTATGAGCCTTTTTGTGTAAAAAAGAAATGCATGTAAGGCCCAAGCGATAATTGCAAAAAGATTTTTTTTCCTCAAACATTTATGTTAATGGTTTTATCTTAAAACCCCTCTTTGGGTTTTCCTCGGTCAATTGAAAAGGAGGTGGCTGACTAGCTTTCAGGGATGTGCTGGTGCTTTGAGGGGTGAAATTGGCAGTGGTAATTGTGTTGGAAATGTGGCTTTCTGTTGCGATGATTTCAACAAAATTTATTCGTTTCTCGTTTGATAAACTCGCTCGTACTCACAAGATCGCTCGCTCTCTTTCTCCTCGTGTTCTAGTGCCAAAACCGGTCCTGACCGGTTCGGCTTACGTCACACACGCACCACAGGAACCCCATTTCGGGTCCGACACTCTCCCCCTATTTGATACACGCAAGTGGAGCAAATATAATCACACAGCTCCATGCTTATATAACAGCAACAGTTTTAAAGAGTTCTAATAGTTCGTGACTCCGCAAGTCACTGAATCAGTTCTCGCAAGAGGAGCAAATCGAACATACAGCTCCATGGGCTTAACAGTTCTAACAGATTTAACAGTTCTAACAGTTCATGACCCCACTCGTCCCTGGGTCTGTTCACTTGTTCTCTTGCTCTGCAATCTCTCTGATCCGCTTCGCCGCAGCTACAGCAGCCCGCCTAGGGGCGAACTCTCTGGCTCGAGGATTAAGCTGCACCGAATTTCTCAACTGTGTGTCCCGTACGTCGCACGACAGCTCCATTGGACATAGCTGTTGGATTGCTCGCTCCAAGTAGGACTTCCCCGCTCTCAACCTCGCTGCTCGGACGACGCCGTCACGCCCCTTGATGAGTTTCACTACAACTCCAATGTTCCACTTTCCACGGTTGCGCTCCTCACTCTGAATTAGCACCACATCTCCAACTTTCAGTGTCAGCACCTTGGTCTTGTGTTTGAGATTGTGTCTCTCCCTCAAACTTCTGATGTATTCTGTAGTCCACCTTGACCACAGAATGTCCTTGCAGCGACGGAGGTATCTTGTCCTCTTACGTAGCTCCACATCCTCCACTGACTCTGCATCCTCCTCTGGCAGGAGGTTAGGTAGCCCGTGCATCATGACGTTTGGCGTTAGCACCGGAAGTTCAACATCATCTTCAACATAGGATAACGGGCGGTTATTGACGGCCACCTCCACCTCAAGCACAACTTCTTCAAGCTCTCCGAATGTCAGGTACGCTCGTCCCATAGATTTGTAAAATGACTGTTTCACAACTCCAACCAACCGTTCAAATTGACCGCCCCACCATGGGGCTCTGGCGAGGTTAAACTGCCAAAGGATGTTGTGGTGGGCCAGATAGTCTTGCAATTTCTCCTCCCTCATAACACTCTTGAGCCACCTGGATGCAGCCACAAAACTTCTTCCATTGTCCGAATAAATCTTCGTAGGCCTCCCCCGTCTCGCAATGAAATGTTTCAAACACCTGATGAAACCAGCAGTGGTCTGGTCAGTTAGTAACTCTAAATGGACCGCTCTCGTTAGACTGCATGCGAACAGTAAAATGTATGCCTTGCCTTCTTTCTTCTTCGAAATCTTGTAAGTTATGGGCCCGGCGTAGTCCACCCCTACTACTTGGAACGGAAATGTCCCCTCTGTACGATCCACTGGTAAGTTTCCAGGCGGTGGATTTTGGAGCTTTGTCACATGGAACTTCTTACACCCATAGCAGTGGTTAACCACGTTCTTCGCCAGTTGCCGGAGACGGGGAATCCAATACTCTTGTCTCACATGCGCCATCGTTAGGCCGACTCCCCCGTGTAGCGTCAAGATGTGGGCGTCTTGCACCATTTTTTCTGATAAGACTACCCTGGGTGGCAAATACACCGGATAATGTCCTTGAATTCTTCCTCTGCACACATAGATTCCTTGGTCATTCTTCTGAAGGTTGAGCCTTTCTTGGTCTTCCAGAAACTTGTCTGTTACACTGTGTCTCTGCTGCTCCCGCCTTATCCACCACTTGACCTGTATCTCCGTCTCAGCTGTTGTCAAGGGTCCGCTTACTCGGTTCCACTTCTTGCTCCGGCAATTTTGAAGGAATCTCATGACCCATGCACTGATTCTGATCGTTCGCCAGAAGGTATGCCTTTCCAGCACTTCATCGAAGTCGTCCCTCGCCTCCACTGCCACTGCAAACACCTCCTTAGTAAGCTTAGCTTCTGCTTCCGTTTCTTTGTTAGGCTCTGTCACTACGTCTCCCGGCCACTCCTCTGGCTTGGACAACCATTGTGGTCCCGGCAACCACACATTACACAGCTGATCTGCCTTGCAGCCTCTGCTTCCTATGTCGGCTGGGTTGTGTTTGGAGTCGACATGTCTCCATTCAATGTAATCTTTGTCGTTGATCTTGCGGACTCTGTTGGCCACAAACTGTTTGTAAGTACCTCCCCCCTTGATCCAGTGGAGTGCGACAGTACTGTCACTCCACCCATGGACTGACTTGATTGGATATCCTTCAAGTGCGACTCTCACGTTCTCCACAAGGTTAGCGGCCATGTGAGCGGACACAAGTTCCAATCTTGGAATTGTAAGATTCTTCTTTGCTAATCTTGACTTTGCTGCTATTAAGCCCTTGCTCACCCCGGAGGCTTGCGTAATCACTGCATAGACGGCCGCTGATGTACCAACTCCACTTGTGTCACCGAATACATGCAACTGGACTCCTTCGATCGGCTCCTTGAACCTTGGTATGCTCCGCAGTACTTCAACCTTGTTGGGGAGGCTCCTCACAAACTTCAGCCACTCTTGTCCAATTCTGTCTGACAGTTTCTCATCCCACGGTAGTCGACTGTCGCATACTTCGCGGTATAGAAGCTTTCCCACTAATGTTGTGGGCGACGCTACACCAAGCGGGTCGTACACCGCAGCTAAGAATCGTAGCATTCCTCTCTTAGTGTTATCAACAGGTTCCTCAGGGAAAGTCACTGCAATTGTGTCCTCTCTCTTGTTCCACGGCAAACCTAATATCTTGGATTCACCTTCCTTAACTCCCAACTGTTGCTTTGCGTAACTCTGCTGTTCATCAACAGGCACCCCATTCTCACCGTCTAGCTGAGGCTCGTGCACCGGAACAACATTCTCACTCTCTAGCTGAGGCTCGTTGGAGTTCCACTTGTGCATGGTAAACTTAGCATCCCCAAACACTGATATGATCGTCTTCTTCAGGTCCTGAACCTCTTCTTTGGTGTTGCCCCCCGTGATGACGTCATCAACGTATAGACTCCTCAAGATCTCGTCTACCTCCACTGGGTATTTCTCTCTTAGGCTTTGCAAGTGCAACTTTAGTGTTCCCGCCAACAAGAATGGCGACTGGACCAACCCGAAGAGCGCTCGCGTGAATCTCAAGGCTTCAATAACTGAAGGGTCCTTGTTCTTGAGCCAGTGGAAACGTAGTGCATCCCGGTCTTCAGGTCTTATGCGTACTTGTAAGAAGGCTTGTTTGATGTCAGCTGCTAAGGCTACTGGCTTTAGGCGATTTCGCACAAGAACGTTCCACAACAGATTCTGCAAGGGAGGCCCCGTTTCTAAGCACTCGTTTAACGACGGACTATCTTCACTTGGCTTAGCCGATGCGTCAAATACAATTCTGAGTTTTGTGGTCACGGCAGTTTCCTTTTTCACAGGTTTGTGAGGGATGTAAAATACTCTCTCGTTTGGCTCGTCTACAACTCTCTCAACTATCCCTTCAGTGAGTTGCTCTTGGATGATCTCATCGTACTTGTCTATCAGACCAGGCTCTCTCTGCAACTTCCTCACTAGACCTTGTAGTCTCCTGATACTTCCGCGTTCGTTCGATTGCAGGTGATCGTGACCCGGCTTCCATAGCAAACCCGATTCGTACCAACCTTCGTCACTTCGGTTCAGTTGCTCAGAGAATTCGGCAAACACGTTTTGCTGGTCTGCTTCTGGTCTATCTGCGAGTCCTAAAACATCTAAAGAGCAGAGTTGTTCGTAGTCCGCTGCCGATGTTTTCGTCAAATAAACGTTGGATAGCGCGGCTTCTCTCCCTGTGGACATCATCGTCCACCCCAGCATAGTGAACTCAGCAATGGGCTCAGACGGCTGACCAATTCTAGGTTTCGTCTCAGTTTTGATCCTTGAGTACTCGCTGGCGCCGAGTATTACATGAATGGGTAACTCACTCTTCTTGTCATCGTCATCCATGACCACTCCCTGCAGGTGACGATACTTGCTGATCAGTTCTCCATAATTCGGATTTGGGACTGTGAGTAGAACACCCTTGTCCACCTTATTGATCTTCGTCATCATCTCAAACTTCCCATCAACACTTTTAACCGTTACTGAATACCCTTGTACCTTTTGAACTGTTGAGCAAAGCATCATGTCAATCTGTCTATGTTCGATATGAGTTGGTCGCTTGTTAAGCCGTTCAATCAGAGCCGCTGACGCATAAGAACTACCCGCACCTGTGTCTAGTAATGCTCTGCATTTGATCCCATCGACGAACACCACTACCACCGGATAAATAACAGAACCCTCACCAGTTGCCAACATCATTTGACTGTTGCTAGGCAGCCTGTCACAAATAGACGTGTGATGTCTGCCACCGCAATGTTGACAAGTGTACTTGCTGTGGCACTCCCGTGCTTGATGTCTTGTTCCTGTACAGTTGAAGCATAGTTTCTTGTCACTCAAGATCTGCCTGCGCTGGTGCAAGCCAGGGACTTTCTTGCACTGGGTGGAGCTGTGATCCTCGCCATTACAATAGATGCAGTTACGCCCCACCTTCGCACTCTCATCTTTGGTCTGGTAAGCAGGATTTTTCCTTGCTTGGAAGCGATTTCGCGGGTCACGGTTCGGAGGATAACGACTTCGCAGGTCAGGCTTTGGCGGTTCAGGTTTAAGGTTTTCGCTGACAATAGGGTTACGGTCACACCACTTCCTCAGGGATTCGATTAGCTCTGCAAATCCCCACTCTTGCCAGTTATCGTCTAGACGTACCAGATCCGCTCTGATTCCAGGTAATTTATCAAGCGTCGCACGCACAAACCCTCCTATTTCGTTAACCTTGCCCATGGTCTCTAGCACTTGTATGTGACTTGTTAGCTTCTCGTAGAAATCATGGATTTTTGCTGGGTGTCCACCATGAACTGTGGATAATCCAATTATGCATTGCATATGTGCGTTTGCTACCTCACTGGGTTTACCATACTTGGTTTTCAATATAGCTTTGGCCCTTTCGTAACCCTCCGTCGTGAAAGGGAGTCCGTCAATGGACGCGCGGACACTGGGTACTAGTAACTCCTTCAGGTAAGAAAACTTAGCAACTTGAGTTAGTTTAGCCTTGTCGATTTCAGTTTCGAATTGATTCCAAAACCTCATCCAATCCAGGAAAGTCCCTTGAAATTTAGTTATCTCCAGTTTTGGCAATTTCGCTCCGACACTGCTCAAATTCCCAGATTCCTCCGTGGATGCCTTCGCCGTTTTCTCAAGACTCGCTCGCGCTTCGTGTTTAGCCTTTTCAAGCTGGATCTTTTCCTCCAAATTCCGTTTCCGTTTCTCTTCCTCGCGTTTTTCCTCTTCGATTGATCTAATACCGGCAGCTACATATTCCACTTCTTTAAGAATTCCCTCAAATTTACTGATTTGGCTTTCTAAAGTTTCGGTCCAAAGTCTGACCTCTACAGGGTCATTCCCACTTTCAATACGCAACTCCTGAACTTCCAATTTGAGCTGATGTGTTTTGTCAATAACGTGCTCCAATGCGCTTCCATGCCTCTCAATTGTCTTCAGGTCTCCGGTCTCGATTACTTTCGCTGTATCTCCCGCTGTAAATTCAAGCATTTTCAGTTTACCTTGAATCTTCTCCTGCATTGTTTTGATTTCGCCTTCGGCGCTCATGTTGTTGACTTCGGTGTTTCTTCGCTGTGTTTACATGTAAAATTCCTCTCGTCGCTCACTTCTCGCCGCTCGCTGTTACTTTCTCGAATCACAGGTGTCCTGGCAGGGTCGCCACCTTTTGTTGCGATGATTTCAACAAAATTTATTCGTTTCTCGTTTGATAAACTCGCTCGTACTCACAAGATCGCTCGCTCTCTTTCTCCTCGTGTTCTAGTGCCAAAACCGGTCCTGACCGGTTCGGCTTACGTCACACACGCACCACAGGAACCCCATTTCGGGTCCGACATTTCTTTTTCACAAGGCTGGCAACTGGACTGTCCAACTTGACTGCATGTTCCTTCCTTTCTGTATTAACTTTAATGTTCAAACTTAAGCTGCTTCCACACACTCTCCAAGATTGTCCTCAATTTTTCTGTACTTTTTAAATTTTTCTGCAACAGGCCTTGCATATGTAGCCATTGCTTTTGTGCAGGACTTTCAGCAAGTTCAGTTCAACCTCCAACCGTGAAGGTAGTTTGCCAGATATGGTGTACATGTATCTGTCTATTGCTTCCCAAAGTGATAAATGCCATGCAAAATGAGGGTTATCTTTTATATCCTAAAAGAAATCACTGCAGCCAGATGTGAAAAAAGGAAAGAGTTTGTGCTTGCTGTAGCTCTATGGAAAAAAAATTCTGACTGTTCTTGGTTCAGGTTATATGAAACATAGTCCACCACTATTGTTATCAAATATTTAAATATTGAAAAATTATGGTACAAACTTATGCTGTGTTTTTTAAGTTGTTCATGAAGCTTCCTTTGCTGCCCCCTGATTAAGTTGTCCACAGCAAGCCTCTTTGTTTGGTATCTTTGCTGCATAACATCTGAGGTGATAATAATAATAATAATAATAATAATAATAATAATACAAAGTACATGTACAGTTAACTGCCTTTATAGTGGAAACTGTAGGGACCTTGAGCTAGTGTCCTAATTAGCAAGAGTCCATAATGGAGTTAATTTCAGTTAAACGTCTTTAATTTATTTTTGGGGGGGATTTAGCGACTGTCTGTATTAGCAAGGGTGTCTGCAAGGCAAAAGTTGACTGTTTAAGGCTCAGAATGGTTAATGAGCATGAACGTTTTGGTTTCAGCAGGCTTACGATGTATCTGATAGGCCTAGCTTTTAGAGTAAATGAAATTTTTGTTAGATTTAACAGAGTTACGATAATTGTTAAGATGTTCTTAATATTACTTATTAGCACGTTACAGTATAGCCAAGCTTTGCTTTTGCAAACCCACACTCTCTCCACCACTGACAGTTGTTTGTACCTTCTGGGAAGACTGCCTGACTTCCTCTGGAGGGAAGAGATGGTAAAGCAGGACTTTCAATCCCTCAAATGCCTTTGTCATGTTTTTCACCACATTGCACAGAATGGGTCATGGTCAGGATTGAAATTAGATCCAGGCCCTTGAAAAGCTGTCAGTTTATCACGGCCGTGGCTTTCCAAACAGAAAATTAATTTAAAAGCAAAATACGAAAACTCAAGACTTAAAAAAACTTATTGATTAGGGCTTCTGGTCCAAAAGTGCAGAAGCTTAAATTACATTGATCACAGAGGTCAACTAACTTCCAATAATGTTCTGAAATCCCAGCAGCGGATCCAATTTTTTTTGCTGCTAAAGAGTACATACAAAGGGCTCAAAGTGTATGGAACTAATCCATAGATGCACTTCTCAATCACTTAAGGGGCACTACATGAAAAGTGCAGAAGCTCAAAATGAAGATAAACTTGAGGGTGTAATAAAACAGTAAACTGTTAAAACATACCTGTCATCTTGAACTTGAAATTTTCTCCCTTTTCTCTAGTGATTGCACGATACATACTGTGAAAATTGCTGATAAACAACCACACCACACTTTTTCTCCTACTATAAACTTAATTTTTTGCTGCCATTTTGAAAATCCAAGAAAAGTCACCATAAAAGCAGTTAAATTTACAAATGTAGTTACCAGGACTTTTTTAGCTCATTTTGGATAGGCCTGGTTTTGAGTAGACAAGGACGGAGTGTGAGACTAGAATGCAGACCCCTGTTGTGGATGTCATCGGGGAATGCCAAATTCTGTTTGATGATCTATAGCAGCTGGGTCTGTAAAGAAAAAAGTGATAAGAGTAAATCCAATTCCATATTTAATTTATTTTAATTACAATTTACCAGTTAATGCATACAAAATTAATACCAAGTGAGTGGATGGTAGTAGGGTGATACTAACCTCCCAAAGGAAGACTACCCTCTAGTATTATTATTATTTTTTTTTTGGCAGGTATGGTTGAAGCCTCGTTTGAGAGTTTTGAGAGTGAAATAGAAAGATGTTAATACTGTAGCTGTGCATTTGAAAATCCGATTCAGACGTATCGCAAAAAAGGCACCTTGGTTTGAGTGTTTGTTGGTCAACTGCATTGTTTCTAGGGGCATTTTGTTGCTATGAGGCATTTTTTAACTAATGGAATTTTCTTGCAAAGCAGGTTGCCCTCTCAATTCCCATGATTCATTGCTGTATTTATCATTAACAGACTTGGCTATCAGGTCAAATTACAAGCTTGAAACTTTTATAATAATGACAACATAAAATTCTTGAGTTCAGTCACTGATGTAACTAAAATAATATCTTTCCATGTTTGTACTGGCTGCCAGTCCCTTTGCTTTCTTACAGGGTTCACACAGTCTTGAAAAGTCCTTGAATTCCATTTTTCCTTGAAACGTCCTTAAATTGTTGTGTAAGTCCTTGTATTTTCTTCAACTTTGAATTTAGTGGCTTGGAAAGTGTTCGTTGATGCTCTTTGGTTGTCCAAGACAGAATATGAATCATAACTCAGACAGATTACAGGTTATTTACACGAAGTGCTCAAGGTTTTATGCAATAATTAACTATCAGTCTAAGACAAGTGAACTGAAAAATGTAGAGAAGGTGGTGAAGCAAACAGTTCAATCCTAAAAGCCTTATTAGAATAGACTGGGGATGTGCAGTTTTCTACAATCTGTGAAATTATATTCCTAGTAGGTGGTCCTTGAAAGGTCCTTGAAAAATGGTTGCAATTTTTTTAATGAACCCTGTCATAGGGTAAGGTACTCTAAACTGTCTACTTTGGAGACCACATGTAAAAGGGAGACAACCCCTAACTCATCATGATCAATGACTACCATGTGCAGCTCACCATGAGAAATAGAACAGAAATAGGCCAGCTGAGTAAAAACGTATTCACAAGAATGTTAGAATAAGCAGCTGAGAGGACTACATGGTTAAATTTAAGCAGTATTCTAGCTGACCACCCTGGAAGAAAATTTTGCCCAAAACTTACATCAAATTTTGCATTTTGTATTGCAGCCACATCAAGAATAATAATTTATATAATTATATTAACAAAAAACCCCAAAATTTAGTACAATATGGGATACCCTTAAAAATGTACTCAGAAAGGCCTTGTCTAGTTGTTGACCCAAGCACATGTACAGTGGGGAACATTTGTTGCATTTTAATTGCGTATGATAATTATTATGACAAGAACATTTTCAACTGGTTGGATTCTTGTTCACGGAAATGAGAGGAATACTAATAAAGTGCAATGCTATTAATCCAGTTTATGTTTCATTTAGGAGAGTGGAGTTGTCTTTAAGATAACGGGCCACGGTTTGCTTGGGTTATGGCTGTTGAAAGCTTTTTGTTCTTGTAGCTTGTTTTTTATATGCAAGCACATCGCTACATCACAGCTCTGTATTTGATGTTTTATTCAGCCGCTTGGAGTTGTCCCTAAGGTATTGGATAACAGTTTCCTTTAAAAACCACATAACTTGATTGTATTTTAGTTGTTAATGGTACAATTTACTTGGATGGATTCGTGGTGCAGGAAATTAAAGCAATACTGATAAAGTACAATGCTTTATTTATTTTGTGTTCCATTCAGCAGCGAAGGGTTGTCCTTAAGATACTGGACCACGGTTTGCGTGGATACTGGTTGCCCTGAAATTCTTTTATTCTTGTAGCTTGTTTTGGCTTAAGTATGTAAAAAATCTTTACACTACAGTACTGTTTATATTTAAACGTTTTGTTAAGCTGCTTAGGGTTGCCTTAGCTTGGATGATGGTTGTCCTGAAGTTCGTTTTCTTAAATATTGGAGCTTGATTTGGTTAACCACCTCGGTTTATCAATCTCTCTCACCCTTTTTGGACTATAGCCCTTCTGTACACATTTTTTGGATAACAAAACTCCCATGAGACCTTTGAAATGCTCACGAGATGTCCCAAGAAGCATTTACCAGAATGTAAAGGTACCTACTATGTGTAGGGAGAATAGACATTGATGGTTTTGCTATTGGTTGGGCTAAGTGGACTGGTACGTAGTGACATTTTTGACCTTGAATTTCTTCATGAGGGATTGGCTTTGGAATATGCTCATTCTGACCAGAACACTTCCCACATTGTAATAGGCACCAGCTGCAAAGAAGGAAAAAATGGCTTGAGTCAATTGTCACTGCAGCACAGTTATAAAGGCTCAGATGTGATTAAGTCTGCCAAATCAATTGGGCAATATGCCTAAGAGTTTTTGAAAGATAGTGAAGATGCATCTCTTTACTTTCCAACTGACCAATGCTACATCAATACATCCAGTTATTACTGTACAAGACCTTGGGTATCTAAGACTCTGTTCCAGCTTGTGATAATTGGATAAGATTTTGAATAATGTTTCTCAGTTTGTGTGTTTTCATTCAGACCTGCAAGAAACGTGGATCAGATACGTGGAGGGATTTTTTATCCCTCAATATTTTGCTTACATGACATTAATGTTCAGACGGGCTTAAAAAGCTAAGGAAAATGGAATTGAACATGTACAATATTAGAAATTATACAGAAGGAAAAGAGAGTGGTTGGTTGCAAAAGATAGACAGCAGAAACTTCCAGAAAGGCAGAAAGGTTATTTGTCTGTTCAGCTCCTAAGGTTGAAGAGTTTTGACTGGTGAAATTTAAGGTGATTTTCTTTTTTGACATCTGTCTTAGATGGAGTGGCCTGTAATAGCGAAGTGATCTGAACTGGTAGTAGGCTGATCAATGTGGTGTTGACTTATGGATTGGAAACTGAACCCCATAATTATAGGTTCTTGTACAAGGAAAAGCTCCTGGTATTTAGGAGGGGAGTAGTCACATACATTGTTGCAGTAGTCGTATGATACGTAAGGTGATACTTGGAATGCACACTTCTCTTAGAGTAACAAGATAAAAAAAAGGTAGCGATTATCCCTGTGTTGATTATAGTCAATGTTAAAAGGTGTTGAGGAGTTCTTTTGATTTTCTTTGTGAGACTGAGCTTGGAGTACGTGAGTGAGCTTAAAGTATGGTTTCTAAGTTTACTTCATGAAATGTTTTGTTTGGGCTTTATTAAGTGGTTAAAGTTAAAAAAGTTCACCTATTAATAGTTGGGAAGAAGCTGGGCCTGATTTGAATTGTGTATTGGTCCTTCAGGCGAGCTAACCAAAGGTTGCTATGGCTTGCATGCCATGAGTCTTCAACCTGAGTCTCAAGGCTAGTCAATTGGATTGTGGGTCTCCTCCTTACTCACAAATGGATCCAGTCCTTCTTTATTGCTGAGTGTAATAATGAATTAGTGTAATAATGCTAATGATACTATGTAAGTGCACAGACATTGATGGTGCATATTACAATACGAAGGCAGTAAATAAAACATATAAAGGTTACTAGTGGTATGAAGAATGAACCATATTTAAATCTATTGTAAGAAGAAGAAAGAAAAATATTCCTGACGACCTGTGTTGCAATTATTGTTCAAATGTCTCTCTTTTAATGGTAATAAGACTATTCATGATGCTTAGGCCAGTTGTAGTATTAAAGGTAAGGTGATCCTCATTTGTGGACATTAGACTGACCACTGTTCTCAACAGCCATTTTAACTAAAATTTTAAAAATGTAATTTAAAATGCATTAAAATGTGTTTGTGAAAAATACCTAGGGTTAAGTGTTATAAGGAGTTATTTTAATTATTGTAAAGGCTCTTGAAATTGTTTTAAAACTGGCACTTATAATTATTGTCTAAAAACACATTGAGAATTTTCCCCTTTACGTTATATGATTCTTTTGTGTCAGCATTTGTTAGAAAATATATATCAGACAGCAATGTCACTATTCCGCTTGTAAGATACGCATGCAAACGTCATGCAAGTAAATGACGCACGCAGGCTAAGTAAACAACAACTCAATGATGGTGTAATAAGGGGGGGACACAGGCCTGTGGCAGGTTATGGCGACTTCGGGTTATGCGCACAAAATAACACAAGCCTTACTTATCGCCCCACTACCGTGGGGTAGGACAAGAGTCTTGGCAGAGCCTTTCTTATCTCCCCAGCGCTGCACGTGCTGGATCGGACAAGATTAAGGCAAAGGAATAGCTCAAAAGATAGCAGGACACGAGCAATGCCAAAAGCTTGGGGGAAGTCGCAATGCAGACTTAACCGCACCACAAGGAGTGACCCACCAAAATTTATTGACACATAACATAACGACTCCCCCAAAGGGAGGGAGGGCGGGTAACAAAACTTTTTCAAATGATTGCTCTTGGGCAAGCTAACCAAATAATGACTAGGAGTGGCATTGGCAAGGCTTTATAGTCAGACAGTGTCCCAAAATACGGCCAATAGGCACAGTTGTACCATAAACTATCTCAACTTATCATGACTAAGGTCTAGCCATGAATAGATCTGAATAGGACAAGAGTCTTTGCAGAGCCTTTCTTATCTTCCCAGCGCTGCACAGGCTGGATCGGACAAGATTAAGGCAAAGGAATAGCTCAAAAGATGGCAAGACACAAGCAATGCCAAAAGCTTGAAGGAAGTCGCAATGCAGACTTAACCGGCACAGATACATGCAATGCATCCCCCCGAGCAACACAAAAAAATTAAATAAACTTCCCTGACACGCGAGCCATTTTGGGAACAGCAAAAAGCAAGACTGTTTCGGGAGTGCGAATAATATACACTTGATAACAGTCCAAGGACCAACGACCTAAAACTTTTATTAACTAGTCTGGTAAGCCCACAGCGGCCGCAGCAGATGCGGCGGCTATACGAAAACTGTGACCTTTTAGACTCTCATATGGGAGTCCCGCACAGCAAGCAGAATCCTGAAGTAAATGCGTAACAGAGGAACGAGTGAGAAGCCGACCCGACTGAAAGTAAAAAGGGGCCGGGGCCGAGGCCGAGGCTGGGCAAGCATAAAATACTGTTGCATAGCGGAAACGGGACTCAATAGAGAAGAGCACCGAGCTGACAGGAGAGATTGCCCCTGTCTAAAACTGTCAGTTTTAGACGATTTAAGTTGAGAAGCATGTACTGCGGGCGAGCCAGACTTGGTGAGAAATTCACGCATTCAGTGGTGAGGTTAAACTGGGAACTAAAATTACGTTCCCCTGGGTACGTAAACTCGCTACAACAAAGAAAGGCGAAAAAAGCTGGGTCAAATGCAGTCCAGATCATGAAAAAATCCCAAACATCCAACCAGCTCTGAAGGATGGCACGGATAGCTAACAGGCCCCTGAGGGTGACCGGCTGACGATTTATGTGAGAACAACCCTGGTAACGAAGAATGCCCCGTAAAATCTTTGGTAAAAGCAGCTTGCCCTGTAAGGAGTCATTGTAACCTGAAACTATACGTAGATTCCGGACGGCTGCTAAGTATATTTTGATTGTGCAATGTCGAACTGTGCGAGCTAAATAAGACGCAAAATAGATGTGTCCCCTCCGAGGCAGGTAAAATATCACCTGTTGGAGATGTAAGTCTGTTCATAAGGCAAAATGAGATAAAACGCTTTTCTCCGGATGTATAGGTGCGTTTGGTGTTCCATGATAAGGCCCAGTTAGCATACCTTAGAACTTCATCCTTCAGAGGGTCATGAACGAAGGAGGGATGAAACAAGGGGTCTGGTTGGCATTGGTGGCGAGATCCCTGAAGCGTTCGACCTGGAAAGGTGAGAGGGCGTCAGCAATTCTGTTATCTACCTCCGGAACTTGGCGGGCCCTTACCAAGAAGTTGTGTTTCGTGGAAATGAGAACCCAAAAAAACAGACCAGATCCATCACCTTGGGAGCTTTTGAGTGACCTGAGTTGATACTAGCCACGATGCTTTCATTGTCGCACCAGGCGTTGTTCTTCAGGTGCAGTGGATCCACATGTGCACGGTCAATTAGTTTTCCTACAACTGGCTCAAGTTCCTGACGGCTATGTTTTTGAGCAATAAATGAAGTGACCTTTGCTCGACGAGTGGATGCAGCCATTTTTTTTCTCCAGTGACTTTTTAAATACATCAACCTGTTTAACCACCTTCATTCTGTTCTCATACTTCCATGGCTTCCACAATACCCTCCCATCTGTTCCAAAAGTCCCATCCAGTCTGGTCATTGTGTCACTACTCACATCTGCAAAGGTTGAAAAGTAAGTTGCAGAATTTGAAAGTCCTCCAGCAAGAAAAGACATTTTCATGTCATTTGGGAGTTCGGAAATGCGAAATTTGACATCAACAGGGGTGCCATTGCAATTTACTGTAAAAGTGGTCTTCTCTAAATCACTAATGTCATGCACAACCTTCTTTAAAAATCGTGACACAGGAACACAGTCCTCCTTACAATTCCCACCAAACAAAAGAAAATTTTCATTACTGCTGAGAACGCCTCTCCCTAAATTTAGAAAGCTGACCAGAGAGGCAAATGCAGTGTCATCTTTTCCAAATGGTGCTCCATCCCCACCGAGAGAAACATGAAAGGTATTAACTTCATCTCCGAACCAAAACAGCTGATATCTGCTTTGAGAAAGATAAAATTCTGCAAGTGACAACAGCAAAGGTTGGATATCACGGTATATACCATCCACGTTTTCTTCTTCATCAAGTCCATGACAAAGGGTCTCCCTTACACTGTGAAGTTGACCAATGTCAATAGACTTGATGAAGGGCATTAAAAAACACGCCTTGGGACAGGGCAGGAACTAACTGCAATACGCACAGCGTTTGAGCTACTTCGTTTGTAACTGCTATCCCTATATCTTGCACGGTACTTTCGTTTCCCCATTCCTCCTCCACTATAGTACACCGCAATGCTTCTCAGTATATTTTCATCAGATGCTTCATACTTCGTTAAATTTTCTTTGTAAACTTTAGGTAGAACCTTCTTTTTTATCTTTTGACTTTAACTAGTATGTCATTAGAACATTTTTTAACAGTTGTTTCGCAAAGGCCAACTTCTCCTGGGGTTCTGCAATTTGTTCCATGTCTCCCTCCATGGATCTGGCATGCTGCCTCAAACAACTCAGCTCTCCTCTTCCTAGCTTGTGACTGACTAAGGGGTGACGTTAGCACTGTTGGCATTTTTTGTCTTAACTTTATAGACTTCTCAGGGAGGTACATGTGCTTGGCTTTCTTCTTACATGGTGTCTCAAGCTCACAGCGTATTTCTTCTGTCTCCTCTAGCTGTCTAGCTACCTTGTTTACCTAAACATTGTGATGCTAACTATCAGTTTGAGGTATTCCTGGGAATGTGACAGTGGCGGTAAAATAAAAAACCAGCAGTATCCTGTCATTACCAGTATACCAGGCGCCTTCAGCTAACTACCTAGATCTCCCTTGTCCGTGGAATCTAAGAATTTCTCTAGAAAATGTGGGGCAGGGTGATTAGAGGGAGGAAAGAAGGAGACCAGCAGTATATAGATTCACCCAGTTGTAGGACACTGGGTTAATATCTACACGTATGGGAGAACTACATCAATCAAGCAGCATAGTTGAAGCTGAGTACTCCATGGAGCTCCAAAAAATTAACATGAGTGAAAATACATGACTTTGTTTCACATCACTTACATTTACTAGACCCTTATCATAAATGGAGGCCAATTAAAAATTATTTTGTATGCATTTAAATTAAACTAACCTCATTTGAGAGTAAAAATTCTTTTGAATTATAAACTTCAAAATGAGGATAGTACAGGAAATGTTAATACCTGCAAAATAATTTATAATTGGCCCAATTTATGAGAATGATCTATATTGTGCTCAAAAAATTACTGTATCCTATGACACATTTTCAGACAGCAGTCACGACATTGCCATTACCTTTGTTTCGAGACGCCTCGACCTTTCCTCGTTTGCCTTCAGTTCTTTCTCCTTTTCTTTAATCTTTTCATCATTTGCCATCAGCTCCATATTTAGAATTTAAATCTTATCACAGTGTTCCACAGCTTGCTCCCTCTTAGACTTCTGCAAACGCATGAATGATCCCACTTGGAATCTACTGTATTTTCGCTTTCTTGCACCAGATGTGTACATGTTGGCAATGATCAAGAATCTGGGAGGCTTCTACAGGCAAACCTGCAACTCCTCGCCGAGTTAGATCGTACAGTGGGACAAGAATTGACACGTCAGTGTCAACAACAAAAAAAAAACCAACGTCGTTGCTAGCATCTCCAACCTCCTTTAGACTTAGGTCATACAGTGGGACAAGCATTGACATGCCGGTAAACTAGATGCAATAAAAAGTAAGAGCATATAAGTATCACAATTTGAAACTAATGACACAGGATGTGTCGTGGTACCTGGCTGAAATGTGGTACTGATTCAAATGTTGAATTTATGCTGTGTTGAAGCAACAGTAGACATTACCCATATACGAATTACATGCAGCATACATAAATCCGACCTGTCCTGAACTTCTATTGAACTGAGCCAAATTAAACTAGGCCTTGTATAGGGACAAGTTACAACCGTTTATACACCAGCCACAATTGTTTACTATTGCTATATATTCAATTACGCTAAAAATAGTTCTTAAGCATAAAAAACGTAAGCTCGCATGATAAACAAAATCAAGTTAAACTGCAGAAACGTACTTGCTTACCAAGGTTGCATATTTCATATATTCATGCCATTCATTTTATAGCTTACGCTTATTTACTTTTTATTACTCGTAATCACGCGCGAGAAAACTCGCGGTCGGTAAGCTGCCTGGCCATCTCAGAGCAGTTGGTCTGTTTGGCAATACTTGCAAAATTACACAGTCAAACTTCAGTGAGCCCTCAGGGCGCACGCTTCTTTCTCAAAGAACTAAAAACATACGATCAACCTTTGACCCACTGTTAATGCTATGAAAGTAAAATAAAGACATTTAACAGAAACAGATGAAAATGAATGGAGGCAAAAGAAGACACCTTTTCGAATCAGAGGAATCGGGACAAAAAGAGACACAAAAAACACAGCCGTGATGTCTAGAAAAACAAAGAAACGTGCCCATGTTTGGTAGCAAACGAAAGATCTTGAATCTTCAAGATGGCTTCCCGTTATTTAGCTTCCAACCTCGGAGGGCGATCTAGGAAGGACTAAAAGAACGTCATTTGACGCAATATAAATTCGTACCCAGTCTTCTACAAAAAGGGCCTGGTCCAATATGGCGACCAGCCACGCGGATGGCGCGCGATTTTGAGTCATTGTGTGCCCACCGTGAACAATTACGGACTTCACTTCACAAAGTCACCAAAGTTATATTTCTTATTTAAAAATGCTTTTGACAATATCCCATAACTCGCATATAAGAACCTAATAAAAATTTCTGCCATTAGGTTCTTAAACCAGTAGGTTCTTACACACAGGTTTTTACTGTAGTTTGGATTTTCCATAATTGACCGGATTTCAGAAAAAAAACGAAAAAGCTTACATACAATATACTACCACATGGACAAAATTTGCAAATCCCTCCCCTTCCACTCCCGTAGCCGTTTTCATATAAAATAAAATGATGTTTGTGACTGGCCCTTTGGAAGTAAATAGATCCTCATATGTTTTTATCAACTGTTGGGCGCTAGATGGCTCGCCAACTGTTTCGGCATTAACAGCTTCATATACAGGTCGCACTTTGGTTGACTCCTCGTGAATTATCCGAACGTCCGTGCTTTTATCGTTAAGTTTTTGTATCTTATGGAGAAGCTTAGCGCGAACGCTAGCAGGCGGCACGAGGGTCTTCAAGGTCTCCTCATTCATGCACAACAGTGCTTCACCATCAACCTGTTCAGCTTTGGAAGTTAAAAGTAAAGACTTAAGAAAGGAAAGGTAAAGAGCTAAACTTTCAGGCCTTAATATAATTCGAAGTAAAAACGTCAATGTGTTTCGTTATTTCGCGCCAAAAGTGCATTTTCAGTTGGGAACTTTTGTTATATGGGTGAATCAAAAGAAAGATGTATCAGAACACCGTTTTATGAATTGTAGGTTGGTGGCACAGTATATGAGATATTTTTTCTTTTAAAAGCAGAACATATTACTTAGGACAGGCTATTTCCTTACCATAAAAAAATGGTCGGCAAATGCCTGAAACCCCTCCTTCTTCATCCACTCTTGAACATCTTCGCAAGGAAAATAAGTGAAGCCAGGGTTTACCCTTAAAACAGACAGACTAAATAATTTGACTCTTCCGTGCAGAATCTACAGATGGTGAAATGGACAACTACTGCTTAGGTGTGCGTGAATATATGAACCTCACGCAACGTTGAACAAGACACGAAACCTTTCCGCTTTTCTCTGATTGGACAAAATACTACTTGATAAGGTACTGTCTTGAAAGGAATGTTCATATTGCAATCAAAGGGATTAATGAAACCGTGAGGACGTTTTAGGACTGAGTTGTGATTGGTCGTATCCGCATACACAACACATTCCGATGTTGTTTCGCTTCCCGACGTTGATAGACGCGTTTCAAAATAACTTTAGTTACAAGATCACTTTCGAGGGCCTTACTCAGCATACAAATGACTGGTGCATAGCAAATGCGATGTTTTTCGTGATGTTTCGAAGGTTAACTCGCTTATAAGACAAATGCCGTCTTTTTAGAATATTTTATATTTGCACAATTAGCTTTGTTTTCACCTTTCCGGCTTATTAACACTGAAAGCACGTGCTTTCAATTAATCACGGAAAGCACGTGGGAGCCCGGTAGTAGATGCTCGTGTGTGTGTGTGTGTGTGTGTGTGTGTGTGTTGTTTTTTTTTATAGCTAGGGTTCTCCGCCCTTAATAAAGTACGTGAGGTTAATTGTCATTATTACATCCGTCAATTTTTGAAGAAGAGGAAATTACATCATCCTTAACAAAGGATTCACATAGTTTTAGCACCAAGTAGGAGAACTACATTCATGCTGGAGCACTGGCACACATCTCATATTTTTTTGCAAAGCAATAAACCTATTCGGCTAATTCACGTGAGCAGGGTGTTTAGTTTAAACATATCTGACCTGGGATATGCAATTGATAATTCAGATGAAACTCCTTGTTAGTGTTTTGTACACGATTTGGTGTAAAATAACACACCAGTTGTGTTAAGTACTTGCAAGATTTCTGAAACACAGACGTTGTGTAACTTTACACCGCCAACGTGAGCCACATTTCTTGATTACACCATTTTTGTGTTTTCATACGCTGAAGTGGTGTATCTTTTACGAAACACTCGGCAAGTGTTATGATAACACCAATTCAGTGTTAATGTAAATCACCCTTGGTGTTAATTTACAACCTCGAATTTTCTGTGTGTTCCTTTTGCTATTCTAGAGCAGCGAGCATTATTGTTGGTATTATCATGTGCCTTATAGAAAAAGACATCTTGTTGGTAGTATCGAAGTGGGCCTTTCTATTTTCTCCTCCAACTGTTCAGGGAAATTGTTGCAGTCTTTTCGCTGTTGACAGTCACTGGGCAGGAAACGCCTGTTGCCAGGGTAAACTACCTTGTGTAACTGCTTGCAGCACTGGCCCTTTCGCATACACCACCCACAGCCTCTGTATGAACCAGTGCCCAACAGGCGAAACACTTATTCCAGACCTCGATAATAGAAGACGTATTTAATGATTTCACCTTGGCTTGAAAGAGTGCTGTTTGGTCGAGATTTTTAGGCTCCTCTCCTTGTGTCTAACTTGGGATAATTCCAACAAGCAGAAGATTTGTTTGCAGATTGGTGCCTTATCTTTCTTGGAAGGTTTAACTGGCCAAAGACAATGGGCCACATTGGATAGTTAATTTTTTTTTTGCTCCAAGGAGTAAGTCTATCTGGGCACAAGGAAAGAGCAACACCACGTAGATTTCCTTGAAAAGGACCATTGACACGGAATGCCTTTTTCCAGTTCGGAGAGTCATGAATGTCTATCATCGTCCCGTCTACCTTTCTTGACATTGTCCGACGTACACTTTTGCCTTGTTATTTTGAGAAAGTAGTTTCTGGCGACCTGGAAAGTTCTTTAGTGCTAGTTGTTTCAAACATTCAGCATAAATGCCGTCTCATTATTTACATACGTTCAATGAGAAAAAATTTGCTAATCGTAAGCGTCGTAAAATGTTAATGTTGAGCAAACCTTTTGCCTGTCCAGACTTCAACGGTGTGTGATTCATCAACGACCATTAATTCAACTTGTTCGTGAACCTTGTCAGTTGGAGGACCTGTCTTTGAGGACCATTTTAAATCGAATTTCAAGTACCTTCTCCACTGAAGCAAGCAGGAGTTGTGGCAAAGGGCTCTGTCCAGAAAGATCATCTGGATTTAGGAGGGAAGTGCAGTTGAAGCCAAGAGAACGTCCTGAATAAGGCTGGTCGACGGGGAAATACGAGGACCACACTGTTAGACTGCTTTCCTTCTGAAATCTTCTGTTCGATGGCCATCGAGAACAGCTGGCAGATAAAACTTTTACTAAAACTCGTTGATATCACTGCAAAAACATCCTTTTCTTCCAGAAGGCAATTTACGGCTTCTTTCTGCCCTGGTTTTACCTTGAAACTAAATTGAGAATTAAGAGAAGGCTTGTAAAAAGCCTCTTTAACATGAAAATAAAATAAAAATTAATGTCGAGTCATTTTTGTACCCTCACCCTTGACTAATAGGGCCAAAGTCATCGTTTTTCTGGAGAAAATCAGAGGTACGTTGTTTGAACGCAGTTTCAACTGAAATTAGTTTGGCCCCTTCAAAATTTGCATCTTGCTTGACCAAGTATGACCTTGGCAGACCATCTATGATCATGGAAAGTTCAAGATAAAACCCATATCACACAAAACATTTGCCTAATAGAAATAGGATTCTTTCAATATTATTTTTTTTCCTCCTCAGACAAGGTGCTGTACTTGCTTTTCCCTTCACCTTGACCAGCTAAATATTGGCAGTAACGTTGACTTGTAATGGTGTGA